CAAGCCTCATCAAGTAGAATATTCAAGGTTCCAGTGAAGTTCTTATATGATCGGTGAAATCTGGAAAAGGAACTTAAAAGCTTTAGAGTTGTGAAAGAGAGGAAGTGTGAAAGTACGTCTGATCATGTCTATTTAAGTGACCCGAATCTTATGGAAATAGGATAATAACTCCTAAGATGATAAGATAACTCTCTCACACACACATACACATAAAATATTCTTAAAGCCTCTTTTTATTTGATAAAATCACCTACAAATCTTTCTAAGGCCTGCCTAACTGATTAAGCGAGTGTCTAATTGATTGAAAGACTTTTCTCCACTGTATAATCAATTATACATAATTACCTTATCGATTATTTTGCCTTAGTTGAGTCTAAAATCGATTGGAACAATCTCTTAATGATTGGTAAAGAATAAATATCACAACCTTCCATTGTGGCTTGAACGATCGATTATTATGGGTCAATAATAGATTAGGCTAATCAATTATTTAGTTAATTCATTCTGTGGATTGTTTCCTTTTTTAGCCTCATTTTTTCCTATATAAATGAGACATTTTCTCATTCGAAAACACATAAGAATTCGAAGTTTTCCTATATTTAACATTTTATATCTCTCTTAATCTCTTTAATATTTTTCTTTCATCAAAGTTGTCTTAGTATCTTGTAAGTGAAAACTACTTATAAGGAGGAGATCACCTATAAAAGCTCAAGTTATTAGTCAAATTCTCAAGAAGATATCTTAGAGATATGAGTAGTCTAACATTTGATAAAACTTGTATGAATTTAGATGTCATTTACTTTATCGTTATATTTTTCGTTGCTTTTCTCTTTTTATGGTACTAATGCAAATTAAAAAATTTAAATAATTTTTTTAAAAATTAATCATAAATTTTAAATATCAAAATTCAACCCTCCCTGCTAAAAATAATAATTCACCATCATAATGCCTTGTAGACCATGTATGCAATAATGTAATTTGTCCACTCAATCAACAAAATTCCTTAAAAAAATAATTCACCATCATATAATGCCTTGTAGACCATGTATGCAATAATGTAATTTGTCCACTCAATCAACAAAATTCAATAATTCAATTATTCCTTATTCTAGTACATCTTTTAATTTAGGCTTAAATAAATTTTTGTTCTCTCTAAATATAGCAAATTTTATTTTTAATTTTTTTAAAAAAAAATTTAAAGAGTCATCCCGTCAAAATTTTCCATCCACACTTTTGATCCCTTTTGTCAATGTCTGTTAACAGAAACAGACATGACATTGTCGCGTGGAATTTTTTTATGATTGAGCTTGCATATAATAGTGTCAAACGTGGCAAAAATGCTGACGTAGCATCTTGCGTGACTACGGTCAATATTATACTTAAACCTATAAAAATTCGTAACTAATTTGTAGCTAAAATCGTAGCTAATTTGTAACAAATTTAAAAACTAAAAAATTTATCATGCAAAAACTAGAACAATTTCTACAAAATCAAGATGACTAATATCACTAGAAGCACAATCGTACATATATAATAGCATAGTAAATTCTGCAAGAAGACATAACTCAATACAATGATTGTAGACATAACCTATAAAAGTTGCTTTCACATTCACAACAATAATTCACTACAAAGTTGCTTGTAGAGTGATCAGATATATCAAACACAACTCAAGTTGTGACTTAATTTTTCTAAGTAGCTCGGAATTGTAAATTATATGGGATATGTTGATGCAAATGATTCAAGCATTTAAACATCAATTATTGTAAAATAAAGGACATATTTGTTTTAGCTTTTAAAAATTAGATATTGTTTTCTAAATAATTTTTATGAAAACATTTTTCAACATATTAAGAATTTTTTCAAATTTGATTTTTATAAATTCAAGATTAATTTTGTCATCTTATATATAATATACAAACATTATTGAAAATTAACACATAGTCAAAATCATAATATTTTAAAAATAATTTTTATAAAAAACTATTTGAAATACTTTTAAAATTAAGTGATTTTTTAAATTTTGATATTCAAAAAAATTTCAATAAGATATTGAAATATTTAAGATACCATTTTAAAAATAATTATTTAAATCAAATTTTTATTTGAAAATTTTGTTAAAATAAAATTGTAAATTCTTTTTAACAAACATATATTACACAATAAAAATTATTTATAAAAAAAAAAAAAAAAACGAGCTTGTTATCTTGTATTTTGATAGTTAAAGTGCAATGTTTATAGTTTCAAATCTTATGACACTAAATATGTATTGTCATTTTGTGAAGAAAGTTCATAGATAATACTCATATTATTTTTAATAAAATATTATGGCGAGAGTTAATTTACATATTTAACTTTAATAATTAGGATAAAGTTTAATTGTTCATATATTTAAGGCGGGACAATCGATCGATTTTGGTCGGTTTTAAATTTAAAATAAATTGCAATTTTATATTTATAGTTTAATTTTGATTAATAAAATTTTAGTTTTTTAACAAATTCAATTAAATCGGTTTGACGGATAAATCAGTTAGTTTAACATTTATTGGAGTAGATCTATAAAAATTGCAATGTTTTATAAAATTTTCAAATATTTACTTTTCAATTTTAGAAAATATACCAAAATTAAAAATTAAAAAAAAAACATAAAGAAGAACAATTTTTTATTATTATTGAAAAAAAGTTATTGTTATATGATAATATTTTTAATAATATTTAACATTAACTTTTGACCATTATCATATTTTAAATGATAAATTGAATAATACATAAAATTTTATATTGAAAGTCTTGTATTTTTTAGATTACACAATGTCCCAATTAGATCATAAAAATGATAATCTCTTAATAATATTATGAATTTCATTTTTATAATGAGTTGACCTATAGTAATAAAAGCAAATAAAATATATATTAATTCAGTTATGTCAGTTTTCAACTAGTTCAAAAAAATTATCTGACTTTGATGGAATCAATTTTATATTATTCAAATTAAGTAATTAAATCAGCTGACACCCGATCTAATCTGATCTATTAACACAATAAAATAATAGATGAGTCAGTTTCAATCGAACAATTCAAATTTATTCATTCTTCCGTAAATCAACACAAACAATATCGGTTGATTTCTCTCATAAAAGCTTTCCCTCGTTAAATTTCATTCTTTTGTTTTCAAATTTGACATGATTGACATATATATTTGTTCCAATTTGTGAGAAAAATATTACCTCTTTTTTAAAATAATTATCATTTTAAATAAATAAAAATATTTTAAAATGAATATCATTCATATTTTTTAATATAAAAGAATTGTTATTTTTTCAATAATATATTTTAATTATTATTTTGTATATTTCGTCCAACATATTTATAAGTTGAATTTAATAAATTATACATTTGTTATGTATAAAAACCTTAAACAATTTTCGTTTTAAAATGGATTGAGTAGGTAAAGAACACAATTTGTCAAGACGTTGGTAATTATTTGTTGTAATTATGTAGAATTGATGTTTTTGTTTTAAGCGTGTTGGTTTGGTTGCTTTTGGGTAAGAAACTCTTGTTTTAAGCGTGTTTTTTTCTTGTTAATGTATCTTATTATTGACTTGCACGCAATGTTCAAGATTAATGTTTCTACTATTTTTGTTGGGATGACCAATTTGACTTTTTTGTACTTTATATTTTAATTATTAAAATTTTATTTTTAAACTTTAATTAATTTTATAAAATAACATATAATTGAGCTTATCTTTGATTTTCTTTTCTAATCTCTATTGCTATAATTTTTCTTTTTAAACTTTAATTAATTTTATAAAATAAACTTATCTTTGATTTTCTTTTTTACTCTCTATTAACTCAAGATCTTGAGAGGAACAACCTCTAAAGACTCAAATTTTTACTATTAGATCAATTCTTGAGGTTAATTAAATTGAGTCAATTATAAGAAGTTGACTCACATACCGAAAAATCATTAGTTCAACTTTCGTTGTTCGATGTGAGAATCTCTTTAATGAATGATCCCAAAATACTTCTAACGTTATGAAACATTTAACTTACCATACCGGACACCCTCATAGTTTCATAATTTCAAAATTGTAATTTCTAATACACACAATTTTCGATAGTATATTTATTATTTTTAAGATATCTGAATTTCTGAAATTTAAGTGAACTTAAAAATATTTATCAAAAATTTTTAATGTTCCAATTTATGATAGTTGTAAAAAGAAAATTTTCAAAAATTTTAAAATATTTTTAAAAAATTCCGGTATTGTTCAATTTTTATTTTAAAATTTTCAAAATTTTCGATAAAAAAGTAAAAAATAATTTGAAAACTTTCGATACATATTACAAATTTTCAGTAAAAACAAATAAATTTCAAAATAACAATCGAGTTTTATAAAAAGATATAATGATAAAAGTGCTCCAGATAAGAGATAGCAACTTGAATGCTCGGCATTGAGATATACCCAGGGAGCCCAACTCCCTTAAACTTTCACACTTGAAAAATACGTAATCTTTTTTAAACTTAAGTTTTTTTAATCTAGACAATATTTATATTTTGTATTTCAATTCGATCCGTATTTATATATGAGCATTAATAAAAAAACAAATTAATGATATTTAATGATCAACAACTTTAAAAATAAAAAATAAACTATTTTTATTCAAAAAAATAAATATCCAAAAGCCATTCTGTATCATACATGAGTGTTTTTATTTAAAAAATTTCACTTAACAAATCATAAATGTAAAATAGCTAATTGAAGTACTTTAGGACAGGCACAAATGAAGAGTTATTACTGCCCTACTAAAATGAATAACCTACAAAGAATACAATGAAAGACCTTCTCAAAGTGCATCAATAGAACCTCCATAACATTATCAATTATACAAAAACCTTCTCCAAGAAGGATCCACCTTCTCATTGATGCAAACTTGCAATATTTCCAATGGTGAATATCAAATGAATCTCTTCAAAATATCTAATTGCCTAACAATGGTTACTGTGATAATAGGCCAATACCTGCTCCTAAATCTTCCAATGTTATGGTAAGAAGTTCTTCTGTATCTATACAGTCATAACTAAGTCTTAGGTCCAAACTTTCTCTTGCATTAATCAACATGGTATCCACCAAACCACCGTTCGCTTCCTTTCGTTGTTTTTCGGTTGTTTCCCTTTCTATCAAGGCTGATATAGCTTCTATACTGCATTCAGAATGCAACTTAAATCCAAATAGTAAACTATCTTCTGCTAAGTTGTTCATCTTGATGTGGAGGATGGTTGCTAGTTCCTCTGAACTGAAATCGATAAAATGGAAAAACTTGGTCACCCTTCTGCAAAAACCTTCGTTGGAAGCTATTACTCGTTTCATCGGTTCGCTGTACCCTGCAAATATTACTACGATTTTTCCACTGTCCATAACTGACATTATCTCCTCCAGGGCTTCCAACCCGTAGTCCTTATCGTCTGCCTTCTGCATTGGTATCAGTCTATAAGCTTCGTCGACAAAAAGAATTCCCCCTTCTGCTTGTTGGATCTGTATACAACATGATTATGAATCGAGATTCAAATCGTAGAAAAAGAATTTCAAAGCCAATAACATACCTTCCTCCTGGTTTTCGGACCAGTATGACCAACAAACTCGCCAACTAAATCTGTCCGTTGAACTTCTGTCACTTTATCAGTAGGTAGAATTCCCACCATATGAAGTAATCTTCCAAGGATCCGTGCTACCATAGTTTTACCTATTAAATATGAATGTCAACTTACGGAAAGCACACAATTCATAGAGAACACATGCATGATATTCAAAATATAACCTGTTCCAGGATTTCCAAGAAAGGCCATATGAGGGGGTCGTCTAGTGCCAACATGCAGACCGAGAGCTCTGCGCCTCTCATCCAAAAGCATGCCTTTCGCCCACTTCCGTAGTTGTATTTTTAGATCATAAAGACCTACAATATTTGAAAGTTCTTTTTCAAGTTCATCCATCTTAGCTTTGGTTTCACCGCAAGCTTCAATAGCTCGCCTCTTTCTCTGCTCTTCAAGATGCTTGTTTAATAGTTCCCTAAGTTTCTCATTTCCAGGGCCTTGCGAAAGATGATTCAAAGGCGTCATTTCCTCCTGCAATTCATAGTTAAGCATTTACTGTTATTGACCGAAAAGCTATTTAGAAAAAACAAAAATAGAGATAAAACTTAATACATTGTCCTTAGCACTGCAATCTGCATTATGTTCAAGCAATGTTTTCACAGTTAAGAAATCTTCTGCTCTTAATGAGTGCCAAACTGCAAGGTGTAAGGGTGTCATTCCATTCTGCAAGAAAATGGTCATAACAAACTTTTCAATGAATTATTACGAAGCATAAAACAATTCTTGTTTGGTTTTTAACTAGATTATTTGGATTTTCTTATTTTAGCTTATCTACCGGCATAAAAACTTGAAAGTTTGTTTGGTAGAGCTTATGGAAATAGCTCATGATATTTACATAGGTTGTTTTCAGCTTATTTCTACAAAGTCTCGAAGATAACTTATGAAAACTGTTTGACTTGATCTTATCTTCTGTTATATAAATAGCTTTTACATAAGCACTATTATAATAAACTCTATAGCACTGACGCCTCTTAAAAATGTGTGTCTATGTCAATGTTGGTGTCCGAAACAAACACCAACACTTGTCATTGTGTTTAATTTATTCGTATTTTCAAATTAGTACCGGTGTCGACGTGTCAGTATCAGTGTCGTGTTTCCAACATCCGTGCTTCATAGATGATAAAACGTTTATACTATAAGCTCTTAATTAAAGGATAAATGAAGTGAGAGAAAAAATTTACATTTGCTCTTGCTTCCACAGAAGCGCCATGCGCAAGAAGTAACTGTGCTGCTTCACTACACCCATTCTTTGCTGCCATGTGCAATGGAGTTTCTCCATACTGCAGAAGTGATACAAAGAAAAGTTTTGACAATTACAAACAACAACCAGAACTCTAGATCATACATAGTAACATTCTAACCATAACTTGAATAGAAAAATTGATGGCACGAACCATATTCTTAGCCTCTATCTCAACTCTCTCTGATCCTTGCCACTCAAGAAGAAATTTAACTATCTCAGCCCTATTGTTACCTGCAGAAACGTGAAGAGGTGTTTGTGCCATCTGCATTTAAAACAGGTATAATCTTCAGCATATAATTTGAATTCAAGATAAACCCTAAAGTAAGAAATCACAATGCAGATACATAACTACACAGATCCAGATCTGTTGCAGTAAAAAATCACACAGTTAGATGCATTAATCGATCTCACCTATCAATTTGAAATTGGTCAGCCAAGACCAAGAACTATGTCACGCAGTTACTACGTGGAATCCAAACCCATAACTACATATACATGCCAAGCAAAAAAAATACAAAAACAATGGGGAAAAACCAAACAAACGATGAGCAAAGAGAAACCATAAGAATATCCCTTTCCATGATCTAGTATCTTAAAAAGTTCATAAACAAACAACAATAACAACAACAACAAAACGGAAATCTTACAACAGGGTTTCTCTCATTGAGAAGATTAGGATTCTCCCGAAGTAACTTGTGAAGTCCAAGAAGATCACCAGAGAGAGCACAAGTATGGATTGTGGGTGGTTTTGCAGGTCTTGACCTTTGATCTTGAGACCTATTCATTCTGAAATCGTCAAAGATGAAGAAGAAAGAGAAAGAAGAGAGAGAAAAAGAGAGTGTCGTTGTTTAATGTTTGGAGCTAAATATGCGCCGAAGTGTTTGATGGCATACAGAAATTTGCGATTCCTACTATAACGCGTCCTTAAATCCATCCAAAATCAAATCTTTCCATATTAGCTTTACATATTTTCACATCACACCCTCTCTTTAACACCTAACAACTCATCATCTAATATTAAATATTTAATTTTTTTTTTAAATATTTAATTTTTTTTTTAAATATTTAATTTTTTTTTTAAATATTTCATTCTTTTGAAAAACTTCTTTGGAATTACTTTTAATTGAGCTAAAATGTTGTAAATCCAAGTAATCAATTATGAAATTTGTATAATGTAGTGTAATTTGATTTATAATTGATTATGAGATTTGATAATCAATTAAAGAGTTGTTTTAATTATTTATAGGTCAGCTCCGGTAAAATAATAACTGTATTTTGCAAGGTTATTAATTGATTATGGTCGTAACAAAATTAATTAAGGGAAAAACTCTTTTAAAATAATTGTTGTTCTCGATTTTTAATATAGTAATAATTGATATTTTTCAATTATGTCATATAATTATTACTCTTTATACTATTTTCAAATACATTAATAAAACTAATTTAGTAAAAGTGTAATATTTTATAACAATATCATTGTATTCTTTAATCTGTGTGCAAAATTTTTAAATGACAATCATTTTAAAAGGGAGGGAGTAATATAATTGATTCTTGGAGATTCGAATATGCCTCGTGGTTTGAGGTTGAGTTAGTATAATTTTTGTGTTTTTTCATTTTCCTTTTCTCTTTATATTTATGTTATTTACTCTTTCACGCATAATCTGTGTTTCTTCTTTTTTCTATAAATCAACATTTTTCTATAAAGTTTTTGATCTGACCTGATCAGAAGGGGATCACGGAGTGGCCACACGCTGTTGGACTGCTACCTGTTCACCGGTGATGAGGAGGAGAAATGGTTGTACCTGCAAAACACTCTGATGCCAAAGTAAGGAGTTGGGCAGAGTGAGGGCAGAGTACAGAAAAGGGGTAAGAAATGAGTCACCTGACCCTCTTGAGGAAGAGGGTATTTATAGAGAGACCCCAGCTCTGGGCCAACGGTCACTTGCGTTGGGCTGGATTGTCAGGCCCAACCCAGGTGACTGCTAGGGCTTATGTGGCGTAGTGAAGACCAGGACGTGGTCTTCGCCCTAGTCCAACTGCTCCTTGATCTCCGGAAAATGGGTTTGACCTGCTCTTTCGGAGGTGGGCAGTTGGTTGATGACGTGTCCCCCGGAGGGGAGCACGTGGAGAACGTGCGCTGGGCACGTTGTTCTCCTCGCGGAGGGGAGCTCGGGAGGTTCCCCGGAGGCACGTTGTTCTCCCCGCGGAGGGGGGCACGTGGGGACGTGGGAGAGCCAAGGGTCTTGCTCGACGGACCGGGGGTGCCCTGTTCGGCCGACAAAGGGGATGTTGAGACGCTACAGGGCGTGTCGTCCATCCCGGCGGGGACGTGCCCTGCCCGTCCTATGGGGGCGCGTGTGCCCGGTCGGGCTAGTCCACTTAATGGGCCTTATGCGTTATTGGGCTGGACCGCGAGGCTGGACCCAGACCAGAACAGGAGCCCCCCAAGTCGAAGCTCTGGGGCGAAAGAGCGAGGACTTAAGGTCGCTGCGTCGGGGAGAGAGGTAGCGAAGCGGGAAGTTCGTCGGGTTTGTGCATGGTGGAAAGTGCACTTGCGCAAGGGTCTCCTCTTCGTCGGTAGAGCGGGGCAAAGGCATGTGAAAGGATGCGACTGTCAGGTTACCGCCACGTGTCGCGCGTTAAGTGGTAGTAGGGGCGGCTACCCTAGGTCATTTAAGAGCCTAGCGTCGCTTCGAGTCCCGCGCCGGGTTATAAATATGGGGGTCCCCACTCATTTTTCTACTTTCCACCTTGCTGTCTTACCTGCGAAGTTCTGAGATTCCTGCTCGTCCGCCGTTGTTGTAGGTCGCCGCCGTGCCGTTTAGTTCTTCCTTCCATTCGCCGCCGTTACAAGTGAGTTTTCTTTCTTTTCTCCTTTTATTTCTGCCGTTTAATTAGGGTCTGTGGTCGGGGCATGATGAATGCCCCGAGGAGAGACGCGAGTTCCGCCGTATCTGGCGGTTTTCTGGGTCAGTTCCGATGAATGCCCTTGGGAGAATTGGTTGTTCCGGTGAATGTCCCGAGGACGGGGGTTTTCTCCGATGAACGCCCCGGGGACGCGCGCCTTTTCCGATGAGTATCCCGAGGAGGGATGATAGGTTGGCCTTTGAATGCCCCGTGGAGGAGCGGCGGGGAGCGCCTGCTCGCTCGTCGCTCTCCCGCCTTTGTCGCCCTTTCACTTGACCTGCGGTGGAAGGGTGGATTTGATCTTGGCTATCGAATTCACTGTTGTCCTCTGCTTTTCAGGTGTAGATGTCGGCCTTGGTACCGGGGACGATGGTCGAAGATAATGAACCCGAGGTCCCGGATTTCGACGAGCGCGTCGTCCCGGTCGAGGAATGGGTGGCCGAAGAGCCGCTGTCCACCCCGTCCTGCTTCGTGGCCGATGCGTCCGATGTCTACGCTACCGTCGAGGACACGCCTGAAGGGGAGCCGCAACACTGGCAGGTGTATCGCCCGAAGGAGCACCATCGCATCTGCTCGCGATATGGGCGGCGGATGTTTCCCATGCACGAGTTTTACTTCAAAGAGGCTCGGCTCAGGTTGCCGTTCTCCGCTTTCCATCTGGGCCTCTTCGATTGGTTACGCTTGGCCCCGTCCCAACTGCATCCCAACGCCCTGGCCTTTATCCGTGCTTTCGAGGTGGTGTGCTTTTATCTCGAGGTGGAGGCCACGGTGCCCTTATTTTTTCGCATCTTCCACCTGCAGCGCCAGTCGGTGAACGGCCGTCAGGGATGGGTCTCGTTTAAGCAGCCGACCAAGCTCTTCAAGACGTACAGCGATTCTGTTCGAGATTTCAAGGGCCGGTTCTTCCTCGTGAAACTGATCACTCAGGAAGGCTCGAATACTCTTTTCACTAAGGGGGAGCGGATGGTAGACGGCCAGCGGTTCCTCGCGTGGCTCCCCAAGGTACATTTATTGTGAACCTCGGAGCACTTCAACCGCGGTACTGACCGGTATATCGTGCGGGCGGGGACTCTCGACGAGAAGGATATGGCCGCGTATATGAAAATAGTTGCCTTTGTGCGGGATCTTCCCCCGTCGAAACTGGTGACGCCCGATGGTCGGTACATCCTCGACGCGCGGGGGAATGTGCGAACCAAGAAGAGGCTGATTAACACTAAGACCCTACTCGATTGCGCCACGGGGGCGGATGCTCTGGAATATCTAGGTAGGGATGTTTCTTTTTCCCTGTGATCGTATGTTCTGACCGTTGCTAACTCTCTGTTTGTTTTTGCAGCGAACATGTCTTCCGTCGAGGATCGAGTGAAGAAGATGCGCGCTTCAAGGAACGCCGTGGTTCCGAAGACGCGGGTGAGTCAACTGGTCGGGCAGGAGGCTGTGACGCCGGGAGGCCAGAGTTCGTATTCTTCTCCCCAAGGGAGTCAGTCTCCTACGTCTCAGGGAGCTGCGAAGAGGCCGAGATCCAAGGAGCCCAACGGCTTGATTGATCTGACGACCGGCTCGGCTGAGGAGGGTTATGTCGTTTCGCCGTGCCATCAGCATCCGGGCTATTTTCACGGTGCTCGGTCTCCTACCGTCTCTGCTGGGGAGGTGAAGGTTGTCCGCGAAGCTGATCGAGAGTCTCGTCGATGTATCCTGGCGGAGGATTTGGCCGCGATGATGCGGACGTTCACGACGACCCTTGTGCTGAACAAGGAAGGTTGTTCTGCCGCTAAGCTGTCCAAATTGCAGGGGGACCTTACCTTCATGCAGTCGCGCCTGGCCAAGCTTACTGAGGAATTGGAGAAGAGCCAGAAAGATGTTGCTGACCAACGCAAGCGAGCGGAGGGCGCTGAGGGGAAGGTGACCTCGATGGAGGAGAAGCTAGGGGCGGCAACGGCCGAGGTGCAGGCGCTGAAAGTTCGTATGGAAGTCCTGGACAGCGCGCTTCGTCTGGCCGAGGATGAGACTGAGGAGGACCAGCGGTTGATCACGCGTGCTGATCTGATTGCCCGGATTCGGGTGTTGGAAGGCGATTGTTTGGAGGCTGTCGAGGTCGGGTTCAAGAGCGCTGTTGTGCAGATCCAAGTTGTCAACACTGGCGTCGCACTGGTCGTGGATGGGATTGGGCCGTATCATGAGATCTTCGGCGGGAAGGTGGTCGACCCCGAGCTTGTCGTTCCTGAGGAGGTCCCCGTGGTTGCTGATCAGGAGGGCGAGGTGGCATAGGTTCCCGGGCCTGCGTGCTCGTAGTTTTTCTGGCCTGCGTGCCGACATTTTGTAACTTGTTTTTCTTTGTTGGGCCTGCACGCTCCTTGTTCGTGTAATATTAACTACTGGGTTGGTGCCCGCTTTTGTTTAATATATTTTTGTGAATTTTCTAAGTGTGCGCTCGGTATTTGCATGATGTTTATGCTCGTTTTTTTTTTGTATTTATTTGTTTGCTTGAATGATGTTTGATGTGCATGCGTCGATATGCTTTTGGGGCCTGTCCGGGTGTTGTCTCGACAAACTTGTTACCGGTGGTGAAGGGAACTGGCCGGTTTGGCCGGCGATGCGGCCGGACCGTTTCGGGGGTAGTTCTCCCCGTGGCGTGGACGTCCCATCGCGAGCTGGGTGTCTTGCCAATTTTGGTACGTCGGTGGGAAGTCTCGGTCGAGGTGTTCCCCACCGAGCGAGGCCGTCTGCCCGTGCACACAAGAGGCAGGGCTTGCTTTTCTCTGGTCGCTAGTGGACGCGTGGGAGTGTGGTGGTACCATGTCGCCCCCCCAGTGGCCGGGACGAGGGATCGTCGCGGGCCGTGTTTTAACTGTAGTACCGCTTAAGTTTTGCGGCGTTCCAT